TCTTACGAGTCGAAACGATGTGAGTCGCAATAAGTCGGAGTCACTGTCTTCGCCTTCCTCTTCTTCTTCGTCTTTGTCTTCGTGCTACCGTCGAACGGGCGGGCGAGTTTACAATTTCAGCAAAAAGATTAAAAGACAACAAAATATAAATAAAAAAAAAAAACAGCAGACACCGTCTTCCCATCGAGCGCACGATCGACGTTAGGAGCTGAACTTCGGCTGAGGCTTTTCCCATGCAAAGAGATGGCTGCGTGGCAAATGCACCTGTCGCACTCAATGCTTGTGCGCGAGGCCAGTGGCTAGAGCTGCTGAGTGCAAAACTGGTCCGTGGCTCAAATTTTTCGAATCGCACTACCCAAAAGTTTCTAAACAGAAATCTATATGAATTATGTTTAATCACCTCTCAACCACCGTCTGTTAAAGCATTGAAGATCAGGTGGAAAATATCTTGAATATTGCGATTAGATTTTTGTTTTCAAAGAAGATTCATTTCCTTCGAAATTCATCTTGCGATGAAATTTATCACCATCTCTCTCTATCTCTTGCCCTCTCTCTTAGATAAAAGCTTTAACGATAAGTTCCACTCACCTTTCCTTTTACAGCTATGTATAAATCTGTATTGTAATTCCATATATGAACATTATTGGTTCAAAGATCTGTCTATTATTCCATTGTTTTACTTTGACTAGGTTCACTTATTTGATGTCGATTGTTGATATTTTTTATATGGCACTATTTGTAGAACTGTTCATTGAAACACACTTGATCACATTCACATTTTGGTGGCTCAGAGAATGCTGTAGACATAAGAGAAAATAATTATTTTACATTGTCGATCAATGCCAAAAGATCTCTAAGAGATCTCTGTCATCTCTTCCTTATACTCTGTCGTCATAATTAACAACATAAAATTTCTGTCGATTTGCCGATTCTCCAGCCGGGGACACAGAAATACATTTTAGTTTTTTGTGATAAGTGATTGACCTTTCGTAGTCAGTTCAAATTTAGTTTTGTGGACCGAGTGTGTCTCTTTCTCTCAAACACACATACTCTATCTCTATCTTTATCTCTTTCTCTCTCTATACCTCTCTCAATCACTCACTCCCACGGCTTTCTCCTCCGCTCGTGCTAATTTTGATCACCGCCACTTGTACATGCACATTTACACACACAAGTTTGCATATGCGTAAAACGGCATTCTTCTTGCTCGGTTTATTTTCATTACTATATTTACTATAATTGCGAGCTTAAAGTTAGATTTCGATTTCGCTTTGGACTTCAATTTTAATTTGGGTATCGATATCGATATCGCCGTACACGCGCGAAATGTGAAACGGATAAGCGGCAAAACGGTTTAACGACAACTGCAGTAACAGCGACAGCAGCAGCAGCGTCAACGATAACGACAGAAACCGTAACAGCGGCGCGACAGCCTAACCTCCACTACCATCACCACCGCGTGGCAACGTTCAATTGTCACTGATTTCAATTGGATTCCACTTCCACTTCCACCTTCAGCCGTTCCAACGGCCTGCAATGCAATGCGACTGCAAGAGGGCTGCTCTTCGGCTCTCCAGCTCTTCGGCTTTGTGGTTCTTCGGCTCCATATCTGATTTAAGAGATGCTGGGTCGTTCGGGTTTCAATTTTCGTTTCGGTTTTGCTTTTGCTTCGTATTGCTATTCGTATTCGTAACTCGGGATGTTATTCTTGCTTTTTGTTATTTTTTCAAAAGCATCTCTTTGGCTTTTGTCTCTTTTAGCTGAAGAGCGCATATTGCATAATCAATGCTGGCGCGCCAACAAGAGAGAGAGAGAGAGAGAGAGAGGGCGAACCAAAGAGACACAAGGAGGCAGTCTAACCAATAAGAGCTGACACTGGCCATTGACAACCAATGGTTAGATTATCGGATTCACTTGGCCACGCCCAAGCAGCGGACTGTCATATAGGGTATGTATGGAGTCTCACAACCGGTTTTTGACCTTTTGCAAAAGCGAGAATAGCGAATACTAAAATTATACAAACGCTGGGATACGTGCAAATACCTATTGCTAAGTTCTGTAAATTAAAATATTTCAAATATATCATTGAGAAATCATATCAAATCATATTTGCAATTAAAATTTCGTTTCAAAAGTGGCCAGCCAAAATTAAAATGAATGGGCGTTAATCTTTAGTAGCCCATGTAATTTCCGACTGCCAGGACTTTTAAATTCAGTGAACCCAGTATTTTGTCTGCCAGCCGCTACCATTCAGATATATCTAGTGTCAACAAGTTTTTCGATTCAATTTCAGGACGTCTTCGTAACAGTCTCATACGCAACACTCATACGTGGACTTGGCAGAATGCCGAAATATGCTTACATAGCATTAAATGTTTTAAATATCTTCAAACTCTTACTGTTATTATACTTTATATAATTTTTTTCGGTTATAGCTTTTTTTGTAATGTATTTTATTTCCCTTTCAAACAAAATTTGTAACGTAAAGCGACATCTATCGAAAGAATTATCTGTGCCACAAACCTTAAAGCTTGATAATGATAGATTTCCTCATTATATTAACATAATAGCAATAGGTTTGAATTTATGATGAAGTAGAAAACTTTCTATTTTCAATCATATCTGGTTACACACCCCACCAGAGACTGAACCCAAACGTAAAGCGACATCTATCGGAAGAATTATCTGTGCCACAAACCCCATGCCTTAAAACTTGATAATGGTAGATTTCCTCAATATATTAACATAATAGCAATAGGTTTGAGTTTATGATGAAGTAGAAGACTTTCTATTTTCAATCATATCTGGTTACACACCCCACCAGAGACTGAACACAAACTTTTCTATCGTATTCACAAACCCACAAAGGCTGTGGATAATCAAGTTTGTAAGACCTCTAACTTCAAATAAGGTATCAAAGCACAGACAGCAACTGAACATTATGTTTATAACATTAGCTACTACACAAACCTTACACTTACATACAGATACAGTGCAGTGTATATATACAGTGCTTATCATAATTATAGCCCACTTTTAATCCACTTAAACGAATCGGCTGAAMATTTTTCCCAAATGGMATATTTCCTCAAAATCTTCAAAAATGAGTAGTTCAATATTTCAATTATGAATGGCAAAAAACTTTTTCACATAACATTTACAATTTAATAGCGGTTTCTTAAAAAGAGGTAAAAAAAAAAAA